ACTCTCAGAACGAACCCTGTCCAAACTCTAGAAAACAGTCAAAGGCCTATGGCAACCAAATGAACAGGAATCGAGAGCAAGCAGGCAAGCGTGGTGGCATTGGGGCTTGCCCTCACCGCGCCTCCTGCCCGGCGTGACGGTGAAGACAGCGCCCCGTGTTCCCCGTACGGGGTCCTGGTCCTGGGTTCCAGAGGGGGCAGGACAGACCTTGTTTGCAAGTTCCTGGGTTTCTCTGTTCTCTCTTGGCTGTTGCAGCTTCACCAAGGACAGACACAAGACGCCTGTCTTTGTTTGCCTAGCTTGGCACTGACCCGGGGGAAAAGCTGTGGGCATGCTCAGAAACATCAAAAGGCAAATGAAAATCCCACAGCTGCCTGGGCAAAAGATTACAATTAAGGAGCCGGCACTGTAGCAGGTAAAGCCATCGCCTGCATTGCCAGCATCCTATACGGGCACTGGTTTGAGACCTGGCCGCTCTACTTTCTTTTTTCTCTCTTTAATTTAATTTAATTTTATATTATTTTATTTGACAGAGTTAGACAGTGAGAGAGAGAGAAAGAGACAGAGAGAAAGGTCTTCCTTCCATTGGTTCACCCCCCACATGGACGCCATGGCTGGCGCTGCGCCAAACTGAAGCCAGAAGCCAAGTGCTTCTTCCTGGTCTCCATGCAGGTGCAGGGCCCAAGCACTTGGGCCATCCTCCACTGCCCTCCCAGGCCACAGCAGAGAGCTGGACTGGAAGAGGAGCAACCGGGACTAGAACCTGGCACCCATATGGCCTAACCTACTATGCCATAATACCAGCCCCACAAATCAACTGTATTAAACCATAGATAAAAAACTAAAAGATGAAGAGAATGATGTATGAGCAAAATGGGAGCACCAATAAAAAGACAGAAAATCTAAAAAGGAACCAAAGAAAAGTTATGAAGTGGAAAAGTACAATAATTGAAATGAGAAGTTCACTAGAGAGGTCACACAGCAGCTTCGAGTAAGCATAAGAAAGAACCAGTAAACTTGGAGGTGTCTAGGAGCACAATGTTTGTAAGCTGGTGAAAACTGAGTTGGTATTGTTTAGATCGAGTTGTCACAAGTTTAGGATGCGAATGCCCTAGTTACCATTAAGAAAATAACTAGGGACAGGCACCAGCTGGCAGCTGGCTGAGACTCCCATGTGCACCAGAGTGCCTGAGGTCAACGCTCAGCTCCGGCTCCTGGCTCCAGCTTCCCGCTGACGGACATCTAAGGAAGCGGTGGTCGGGCTCCCGCCACCCACCAGGGAGAAGTGGACTGGGTTCCTGGCTTCTGGCTTCAGCATGGTCCAGCCCTAGCCATTGGCGGCATTTGGGGAATAAACCAGCAGATGGGACCGAGCTCCCTGTGTCAATAAAAATAGCTAAAAGCACACAGAGAAAAGGGAAAGCACACACAAAAATCTAGCAGGGGGCCCTAGCTCTCTTCAACTCTGAAGGCTGGGAGAGGTGAGGGAGCTACAGAGGTGGATATCAGCAGAGTTTGTCTCATGAGGCTTAAGGAAGGACATCACCTCCACAACATACAAGTACAAGGCAGAACCGCAGGTGTGGCAAGTCAGCCGGAAGTCAGCTAAAGTCACAGACGCAGACAGCTAGGCTTACAGCAGATTTCCAGTGTAGACAAAGCAGCTTGTATTTTGGGAAGATGCCGTCCAGGTCTTTCACAGGCAGCGAGGAGAAATTGGAGCCAGGCTGCAGGCTGCGAAGGCCAGGCCAGGAGTCTTGTCAGGGAGGGGCTTACGTTGAAGCCAATGCGCCTTTGCCAGCCTAAGTCCTAGCTAGGCTCCTCAAGGATTACACAAAATCTACCCTGCTTGTGCTCCACAGATGGGACAACAAAGCCTGCGTGACAGCGCATCCATTTACAACATGGCTCACTGAGCATGGTAAGCCATGGTTGAGACCTGTGGCTCAGACCCTTTCAAAATATTACTTCTTCTCATCGTCGACGCCATCCGGAGTCTGTCGGAGAGGCACATGGAGATTGATGTTTTCGTGTCTTCCAACACAAGTCTTATTGTTCAAGAAGCAGATTGCAGAGGGCTGCACAGCCCCAAGGAGCGACTGCTCTGACGGAGCTGAGCAAAGTTCCCTGAGAACATTCTGGAAAGGAGTCGCCATTCTGGGTAACATTACATATTTTGTGGTCCAGAGGGGAGTGATGAGGACAGCAACAGTAGCAGGAGATTGAGAGAAGCTGAACCCAATCCTCACGGATGACTTGGAGAGGCTCAAGACTTCCCTGGAGGAAGTGACAGCAGACCTGGGGCAAACAGGATGAGAACTAGAACCAGAGGGGAGCCTGTGGTGGGACTGAATGGCGCCCTCTAAGGATAAAACCTGAATGGACGAGGGTTGCTTCTCAGGGATGATGTTTATTTTGAGCGTGATTTGGCTCCTGAACTCATGTAGGACTTTAAGCCCCAAGGTTATGAGTTGGTGGTGCTGGGAGCAGGGTGACTTGGTGCAATGATGGTGTTTAGGAGGCAAGTCCAGGGAGGTGTCCTTGGGCCCTTGAGGGCGTGCCATTTGAATTTAGTTCTCTGGACAGTGTTGGTCATATAAGCCTGAGTTGGGTCTAGCCACCTGCCTCTGCTCCCTGCCAGCCATGTGATCAGCCCCTGCCCTCGCTCCACCATGGTCATCCTCTGCTCTCCACCAGACGGTCAGAACCATGGGGCCAGCCAAATCTTTGGCTGTGAACTTCCAAAACCGTGAGCCCCAGGAGTCTCCTTAGTTTTGGGTCTTCATTGTAGCGATGAAGAGCTGACGAGTACAGATGAGAAAAGAAAGTGTGTTTCTTAAGATGGACTCTACTGCTAGGGAGGAGGCTGGACCATGGTTGACATGGCAACCAAGTACTCAGAATGTTACATACACGGAGTAGACCAAGCAGCGAAGCGGACTCCAGTTCTAAAGGAACCGTGGGCAAAATGATTGTACACAGTTTCTCTGCTGCAGAGAAATCTTTCACTCAAGGAAGAGTCGGTTGATGCGGCCAAGTCCATTACTGTCTTCCGGTAAGCAATTCCCACAACCGCCCCACCCAGCAGCAGAATCCACACTCTCAAACGCACACGGAGCCTTCTCCAGGACAGATCATAGGTTAGGCCACAAAACAAATCTTAATACATTTGAGAAGAATGAAATTTTACAAAGTATCACTCCCAACCACAATCAGAAATCAATAAAGAAGGAAAACCAGAAAACCCACAAGTACTTGTGTATGTAAATAAGACAACACACTCTTAAGCCAAGGAATCTAAGGAGAAATCACAAAGAATATTAGGAAATAGCCTGAGATGAATGACCAAAAAACCATAACATACACAAACTTTGCGATGTACTGAAGGCAGTGCCCAGTGAGAAACCAGCCAATGTAACTGTCTACCCAAAGTAGCAGAATAAACGAAAGAAAGTTCTATTGGATTACAACTTTGGGGGATAAAGTCTTTTTTTTTTTTTTTTTTTTTGACAGGCAGAGTGGACAGTGAGAGAGAGAGACAGACAGAGCGAAAGGTCTTCCTTTTCCATTGGTTCACCCCCCAGTGGCCACTGCAGCCGGCGCACTGCACTGATCCGAAGCCAGGAGCCAGGTGCTTCTCCTGGTCTCCCATGCGGGTGCAGGGCCCAAGTACTTGGGCCATCCTCCACTGCACTCCCGGGTTACAGCAGAGAGCTGGACTGGAAGAGGAGCAACCGGGACAGAATCCGGTGCCCCAACCAGGACTAGAACCCGGTGTGCCAGCACCGCAGGTGGAGGATTAGCCTATTGAGCCACGGCGCCGGCCAGGAGGCGGATAAAGTCTTACCTGAGTTCAGGAGCCAAATCACCTTCAGACCATAGCACTCTACCCTCAGCCCCATGAAACTCCCGTCATCCTCACAAACACCACCACATCACTCCATCCGCATCGATCCGAAGTCTTTTAAGTCATCCCAACGTCATCCCCAAGTCCCAAGTCTCATCTGAGAATTCCGACACACTCCTTTAACCGTGAGCCTACTGAAATCCGGACTTACTTCAATGCATTCCGATACACGGGCGAGACAGGCATGGGGTGCACATGTCCATCCCGAAAAGGGGGAGACGGGGAACTAGAAAGGAGAAGTGAGACCAAAGCTCCATGTCCAGCATCCTGGGCACACCGTGGTGAGGGACTTGGGCAGCCCACCCCCACCCCACCCCCCAGAGCTCCGCTGGTCACAGCCCGCGCTACAGTTCCCACAGGCTGGAGTCCCTGCAGCTCCTAAGCACTGCCCAGCTGCCGACTCCGCGGCGACCCTGACCCCACATGCCGGTTGTCCCCGCCCGCCTAAGCCTCGGCTGCGGGGCCCTCCGTCCATGTGCGGCTGCTCCCTAAGGCTGCCCACAGGCGCCTGCGGGTTTTCTGGGTGGCCATGCGACACACACTGTTGGTCACTCAGCCTTCCTGCGGCCTCTACACAGCACACACACCCCCACACCCCACCCCCACCCCCGGTCCCGCAGCTTCTCTGTGTTGTCACTCCAAGACAGCCTCACGGGCTGAATGCGGGCCTTGGGGGGGGTGGGGGAAGCGGTGGGAAATCTGAGAGGCTCACAGGTGAGCTTGTGGAAGGCACCCAGGGGTTTGTTGCATGAGTGAGTGACCCAGGGACAGAAGCTCAGCGCTGCCATTACCCAGCCATTTGACTTGTGAGGTTGAGTATTCGTGATGCTCAGTTTCCCAGCTGCTAAAGCCGGGTGCTGGGACTCTGTTTAATTCGCGGGAACCAGGCCAGCGCCCAGGGGCCCCACCGTTCCAGTGTGTTCTCACTCTTAGCCGAAACCAAGCCCCGGAAGCCGGAAGATGCGAAGTCGCCCGGGCAGACCAGAGTCCGGGGAGACCCGCTGGGTCGTGGGCGGCCGCTCGGGGCTGGGGAAGGAAGAAGGGGCTGGGCAATGGGCATGGCTGGCGCGGACGCTCGGAGGCTGGGACCCACCTTGCAAGCCCTCCAGGCGGAAGGTGCGGTGCTCCACGGCCAGGCCCACCGCGCTGTAGGGCCCATAGCGTATGGTGACCACCGCTTTCTTGGGCATTGCCCGCGCGCCGCCGCCGCCGCCGGGGCTACGGAGCAACACACGCCGCTGCTAGGCAACCGTGCTTCTGTGCGGCGGCGGGTGGGCGTGACCTGGAGGAGGCGGGACTGGGCGGGGCCGGGGCGGGGCCGGGGCGGGGCCTGGACACCTGCAGAGCTGCTCGGAGCCCCACCCCGGGCTGCAGCCGGCCTAGGAGGCCTGAGGCAGCAGGAATTCTTCCCAGCCCACCCGGCGAGTCCAGTGCACATCTTTAAGTGCGCGGGGTGGCTGATACTGCTGACGTTTCTGATTCCTGATATCTCGGCCCTCCCTTTGAACTGCGCGTGTTTTGATTCTCCCACGGATACAGCCTGCTCCACTGCGGCACTCGTGTCCTCCGTGAGAATGAACTTCCACGTAACCGGTGACGATGAACGCAGGGTTTTGGCACTTTCCCCCAGCACATTATCTCCCATGGTGAAATGGCCGCCGCGCTGGGGAGAACGCAGGGCTGTACGCCCTGTCTGGGGAGAAGGTATTGCCTCATTCTCCCTAACTTTTCGTAAAAAGTAGAATCCTGGAGCCGGCGCTGTGGCCTAGAAGGTGAAGCCACCACCTGCAGTGCCGGCATCCCATATGGGCGCCGGTTCGAGTCCCGGCTGCTCCACTTCCCATCCAGCTCTCTGCTATGGCCTGAGAAAGCAGTAGAATATGGCCCAAGTGCTTGGGCCCCTGCACCCGCGTGGGAGACCCAGAAGAAGCTCCTGGCTCCTGGCTTCAGATCAGCCCAGCTCCAGCCATTGCGGCCGTTTGGGGGGTGAACCAGGGAATGGAAGATTTGCCCCCCACCCCAGCCTGCACCTCTGGCTCTCTGTAACTGCTTTTCGAATAAATCAATAAATCTTAAAATAAGAGACAGAATCCTCCATTGCTGGTATGATTTTTCAGTATTAGAAATTTAGCTCTGTCGCACCAATTTTGCTAAAGTTTTTATAAAGATTTTTATTGGATTCTGTTGCTGTTCTGTTTTCAAGTTCCCTTATCTTTTGCTTTCCACAGCTTCATAGTATGTGTGGGTTTCGTTTTATTTATTTTGCTTGGGATTTGTTGAAATTCTTGAAACCCTGCTTCTGATCCAGCTCCCTGCTAATGGCCTGGGAAAGCAGCCGATGATCGCCCATGTAATTGGACCTCTGCTATGCACATGGGAGACTTATATGGAATTCCTGGCTCCTGGCTTTGCCCTGGTCCAGCCCTAGGTGTTGTGGCCATTTGGGGGGTGAACCAGTGGATGAAAGAACTCTCTCTCTCCCTCTCTCTTTCCTTCTCCTTCTCCTTCTTCCTCTCTCCTTCTCTCACATGTATGTGTGTGTCTCTGTATCTCTTTCTGTCACTCTGCTTTTCAAAAAAATAAATAAATCCTAAAAAAAAAAAAAGAAATAGAAAGTGAATTAAGATTCTTCAACAGTTTTTGGACAAGTTTGAGTGATTACTTCCATTACCTTTTTTTTAAAAAAAAATATTTATTTATTTATTTGAAAGTCAGAGTTACACTCAGAGGGGAGGAGAGACAGAGAGAGGTCTTCCATCTGCTGGTTCACTCCCCAATTGGCTGCAATGGCTGGAGCTGTGCCAATCCAAAGCCAGGAGCCAGGAGTTTCCTCCAGGTCTCCCACGTGGGTTCAGGGGCCCAAGCACCTGGGCCATCTTCTACTGCCTTCCCAGGCCATAGCAGAACTCAAACCAGTGCCCATCTGGGATACTGGTGCTGCAGGCGGCAGCTATGCCACAGGGCCAGGCCCCCATTACTTCTTTGCATTTTGTTTCTGTTTCATTTCTCACTCTTCAGGTCTCCGGCTGAATGTATGTTAGATTTTCTCATGTATTCTTTATGTCTCTTCTCTGTTCTTCTTTTTCACCTCTCTTTCTGGATTGTGTCTGCGTGTATTCATTCATTTTTACCTGTAATTCAGTTTATTAATTTTCTCTTCAGCTGTGTCTTTTTTAAAAAAAAAAAAAAGAGATTTATTTATTTGAAAGGCAGAGTTACACAGAGAGAGGAGAGGCAGAGGCAGAGAGAGAGAGAGAGAGAGAGAGAGAGAGGTCTTCCATCTGCTGATTCCCTCCCCAGATGGTTGCAACAGCTGGAGCTGCACCAATCTGAAGCCAAGAGCCAGGAGCTTCTTCCGGGTCTCCTACATGGGAGCAGGGCCCAAGGACTTGGGCCACCTTCTACTGCTTTCCCAGGCCATAGCAGAGAACTGGGTCAGAAAGAGGAGCAGCCGGGACTTGAACCAGTGCCCATATGGGATGCCGGCACTGCATCAGCTATGTCTTAACTGACATTATAAAGCCGTCAACTTGGTGATTGATTGCAGTTATTTATTTTCCAATTCTAGAGTTTCAGTTTGTTTTCAAGTCTTCTGTGCCACCTCGTTTATTTATTCTTAAACAGTCCTCAGGAATGCATTCTTTATTTATTTGAAAGGCAGATCGACATCTCCCATCTGCTGCTTCGTTCCTGAAATGTCCACAGTGGCCCGTGCTGGCCAGGCTGAAGCCGGGAGTGGAGAACCCCATTCGGGTCTACCACGTGAGTGTTGGGGACTCAAGTACATGAGCCGTCACCTGCTGCCTTCCGGGATGCATGTTAACAGGAAGCTGGAGTCAGGAGTGGGGCTGGGAATTGAACCCACGCGTTCTGGTAGGGGATGCAGGGCTCCCAAGGGGCTTCTTCACCAAGTGCCTGCCCCTGGGCCACACTGTTTAGTTTTCAGTTTTTAAGGTTTTTTTTTTTGAGAGAGAGAGAGATCCTTCGTGTAGTAGTTGCCAAGTGTCATTTAGCTGCTAGAGTATGCAAATACCTGCCCTCCCCCCGCCCCAGTTTAATTGTGTCCTGGGTATTGTATTAGCTCAATTATTTGTGGAAATGATTTGAGGTCCAGGCTGCAGCCTGGGGCAGCTTAATACAACTGCCAGGACTTGAGAGCTCGAGATTTTTCTGGATTTTTCTGGGCCTTCCAGATGACGTGAAAGTGGGTTCAGTGCATGCAGCCGCTGGTGCGTTTATATGTTATGCTCATTCTGGGGACATTCTCAGCCCGGTGAGTGTGGTGGGGCACCAGGGTTCCCCTTTGGTGGTGCTGGACTCCAGGACCCTCCCCCCAATTCTGCAAAGACTAAGCCATGAGAGCTTGCTTTCCGGGCTGCCTACCCAAGACCACAAGATAGCCCGGGGGTATGGTCTGCCCTCTGTCTCCCTGTTCTTGAACCAGAGAGCCTTTCTATGCTTTTCAAATGAGATCTTTCAAAAACGTATGTATGCCAAAAGTTGAAAATATCTTCCACGGGCAGCTTGGTCTGAATGACCAAGTCGCCTCTTTCAGCTGCAGGATCTCCTTGTGGGGCCTTAGACCGGAATGGCCATGCTGTCTTTTTCAGGACTTCTATTCATGAACTTGGAATACCTCTCTTCCATTCACAGCTCCAGCGTCTTCGAGTAGAGTTTATGCTTACCTCGATAAGGTTTTGTCTTTCATGTCTTGTTAGATTTATTCTCTGGGACTGTCACAGCCATGTATTTTAAATTGTGATTCTGTTGTTTATTGCCGGTGTATAAAACGCAATTGGTTTGTACACAGATCTTGTATGAGCTCCTGTGACCTTATTTATCATTTCTATGAATGCATTTGAAGATTCTTTTGGGGTTTCTCCATAAACGACCTTCGTCTCTAAGCAATGACACTTTTATTTCCTTTATGAAGTTTTCCCGTCATTTTTCTTCTCGTCGCACTGGCTGGAACCTGTAGTGCAGTGATGAATGGAAGCGCTGATAGCGCATATCTCTTCATCCTGATTTTGAAGGGAACGTTCCAACACTTCCCCATTTAGGATGATGCATGTTGCAGGGTTTTTTTAGATGCTCTTTGTCAGGCTAAGTCTGTTCTTTCCTTTCCATTTTACTATGAGGCTTTTAAAAATTAAATTATGAATGAATGCTGAATTTTATTGAATGCATTTTAATGATTAGAACAATCCCACTATTTTTTATTGTTTAAGCTGTTAACGAATAAATGACATTTAGTTATTTAAAATTCTTTTATTGATGTGAGAGGCAGAGAAACAGAAAGAGAGACACAGCCAAAGCTCCCATGCAAACATCTGCAAAGCCAGGAGCTGAAGTCTGTCCAGGTCTTCCATGGGGGTGGCAGGGACTCTCGGATTTGAGCCATTCCCTTGCCTCCCAGGGTGTGCATTAGCAGGAAGCCGGATGGGAAGCCAAGTGGGGAGTCAGGCCCTCCGATATGGAATACGGCGACCCCCAAAGTGGTGTCTCAACCACTGTGCCAAAAACCCACCCCAGAGCCCCTACATCTTTCCAACACACATCACTGCTGCTGGAGGCGGACCCCAGATGTGGGCCAAGGAACTGCGGACTCAGGTCCCAGGATTTGCAGCCCTGCATTGTGTAGCATTTCTGCACAGAAGCAACGGCCAAAGTCCTCTTTCTTGGCATGACATTTTATTGAATAGGCTTTAAATACTTTGAATATAATATTTTCAATATACAGTTCCTGAATCAGACATATATTTCTTCAAAGCACAAAACTATAAATTAAAGTTGAAGGGCTATAAATACACATATACATATTGCCATAAATCTAGAACTATTTTATAAAAATAGAACTCAAATAGTAAGTTTATATGGTTTGGCAATTCAGCAGTATTGTAAGGTGGCCACGTATGCTTTTATGATGCATCCCTGTTCCCGGTGGCCATCTCATGTTCCATCTCTTGGGGGACATGCGGAGCAGCCTCCTTTACCAGGGTCTCCCCAGGGATGCCCTTGGCAATGGCTCAGTGTTGGCTTTGCATAAAGATGCAGTGCACCTACCTGCCCTCGGAGGTGGAAGACCAGCTTCCAGCCCCTCCCTCCGAGACAGGCGTTCCCTCCCGCTAGGTGTCTCTACCCCAGCTCTGGGAGTCCTCAGAGTGCACTGTTGGGGATCTAACTCTACGGAGTGGGTGTGAGCTCGGGTCTGCTGGATAAGCGGTATAGTTGCAAAGAAACCACCTGAGCAGTGCCTGCTGGGTCCTGTCATCCTGACCGGCGGGCACTGACCTGATGTTCTTACACACACGCTCTCTGGTCCTCAAAGCCTGCAAGGTGGGTTCGCTCTTCTCCTCATTGGGCAATGGAAGGAACTGAGTCCTTGGGCATTTGGCCAAGGTTGTGAGGGGCTGAGGGAGCCCAAGGCTGGAGCTCTCTGCCTGCCCAGGAATTCCTGGAGGGAAACTGGGAGAGAATGGGTTATTTCATGAGAAGGGACAGGCGGCTTTTCACAGCAAGTGCACGGCGGGGTCCCCAGGCACCCCCAGACCCTTGGTCTCCAACTTCCCAAGGTCAGCAAGAAGGTAAGGGGAATGCACCTGGACCTACAGACTGGGGTCTGAGGTGTGTACAGCTGCAGCCCACACCCTGACCTTCCTCATCACCAAAGCCTATATCAAACCAGAGGGACCAACCAAATGCCCCAGCCCCACTGCAGTCTGCCGGTCACAGCACAGAGAGCTCCCATGGCGGCTCCCAATGCATACACTGGGCACATCCCAGGGCCACCAGGGGGTGCCCAGAATGATGCAGCCTGGGTTAGGGGCACTTCCCCGGGACCCCCGCAGCAGCAGAGTTGCCTCGCGATGGGGGAACACAGCTCACGCGCCCCTGCTCCTCTGCCCTTTAAAAAAAATGTGCCCAGCGCCTGCTCGTGCACTGCCTCCCCTGGCTCAGCTGCTCTGTGTCTGAGCTGTCTGCCCTTCCTCAGCCAGAGCTGCGGCTGGGCTGGGCACCACCATTCCCTCCGCCCAGCCCTGCTCTCTGCCCACTGTCCCCTCTGTCCCCAAGGCCGGCTGGAAAGCCTGGCTCTGGGCCCCTCCACCTGTGCTGCCATGGAATCCCTGGATGGCATCCTTCAACCAAAGGAGCCCTCCTGTTAAAGGGTGCCCTGCTTGAGCCACCGAGATCATTTTCTGAAATTAATGTCACCGTGGATTTCTGTAAAAGCTCGCTCTTGAAAACAAACAAAACAAAGCAGGCCACAGCCAGAGAAACTCCGGGACAGCCTTCTTTTCCCTCCACCTATCAGGGTAGAGTCAATGGGAAAGGGGCGGAGAAAATGCAAATGAGAGGCCCCCGGAGGGCGTGGCCTACTCCACCTGCCACTGGCTGGCCCTGATGTCACATGGGAGGCAAGACAGTTGCCAGGGCTCCTGGACAGTCATAGGTGGAAACATTATTTTTCCTTTCAGGATAGCTGGATACGATTTTCTGAACTCAGTGGAAGATCTGTCTCTGGGAGACCAAAGGAGAAATGTGTGTGTGGAGGGGGGCAGGTCACCACGTTTTAGATGAACTTGGCCTGTGTGTGTGTGTGTGTGTGTGTAGGTAGGTAGGTAGGTGGGGTTAGGGGGTGTTTGCAGGCCTGCATGGCTCAGGGGAGGCTCTGTGAACACCACGACCAGGTGCTTTTGCTCTGAAAACTAAGCCCCCTGCTCCCCGACTCCCTACCCCCAGAAGAAAGAAGCAATGACCCAGATGTAGCCTCTGCTTCCATGACTCACTTAGGTGCGTTGCACGCCAAGGGTGATTCATTCTTTCAGTGGGCAGAAATATCACCTGGACAAGCTAGGTCCTGCGGGGAAAGGAAATAGGTGGACCCCGGGAGGGGAGGAGCCTGGGAGGAGCAAGGGCCCTGCCTCACCTAGGCCTGAGGGCACCTTGATAAATATTGACAGTTCCCATGCATAATGAGGGGCCTTTGTCTGCTCACACACCAGCTTCTCCAGCCTCACCTAATGCCTCTGTGTGGTCTAGGGTTGGGTCCTGGGGCCCTGGGAGCTGCAGAAAGCTGGGGCGGGGGACGGCTACAGGCTTTTGCAGGAGGCTGGGCTTGGGGACGGGAAACCTAGTGGTGCCTGGGAGTCAAGGTTGGTGGCCCTGACTTGGTCTTGGGCCATCTTCCTTGGTTGTAGGTGGCTTGCCCCGGGCAGGCTGCAGTGGACTGCAGAGGTCTCTCATGTCAGCCAGGCTCGCTTGCACGGCTTTCGCAAACTCCGTGGACGACGTTTCCTTGCAGCTGTGAAAGCTGGAGATGCAGAAGAGGATGGTCTCAGCCTGCGGGTTGTAGCAGGCCCCGTACCCGTTGGGGACCACAGGACCGTAGCAGCAGAACATCTCCATGGCCGTGGGCACCTGGAGGGGAGGACAGAGCAGAAGCTGCTTGTTGGGAAACAGCACATGTGAGCCTGCTAGAAGGCAGGGCCTTGCTCGCCCAGGGGCCCAGGGCTCAGGGCTCGGGGCGGGATATCTGCTTCCCTGTCTCCCCGCCTCGGCCCCTGGGGGCTGGATTGAATTAACCAAAGCAGCCGGCTGCTTCTACCCCGATGGTCACAGCCAGGCTCATGAAAATAAACCCATCTGGTTTCATGAGGGTGGGAGAAGAGGGACCTCAAGCCCACTCCCCGGGTCCAATCTGCTCCACTGTGGAGTGGGCAGCTCCAGGGTGCCCAGGCGCTAGGTCCTGGGCTGAGTCTCTTCTTTACCTGGGGATGGGGCAGGGGTGGGGGGAGGGTGGCATTTGAGCAATCAGGGTAATTTACTCAAGGGCACCTAGTGGCCCCCAACAGTGGGCTGGCTTCTCTGCAGGGAGTCATCTAAGAAATGCACGAAATCTGGTCCCTGCCTGTCTCCTGGTCTCCCGGTCTCCCGCAGATCCTTAATTACCGTCAGCCTTGCCTGGCTGCTCAGATTCTCTCCCCCATGGCCTGGCCACGCCCCATTACCCAGCGCTGGGCGTTTGCAGAGGTTGCCATCTGTGGAGTTTTACTTATACACCTAATACTTTGCGACTGATTGGCAGTGGCGAGATTCTGTGGCGACTAGAGGATCGCCAACCCAGAGAGTGGGCTCCTGGTGGCATTGGGGCCCCCAAAGCTGCTTTCCCATTGGAAAACAAGACTCCCCACCCACTAAGCCCATGCCCCAACATTCAGTTTACTAGCTGCGTCTACGGGACAAGTAGAGAGCCTGGGCAGGTGCAGGGCAGGGTTCCTGACGCTTGGCTCTTGGAAGTGGCACTGGCCGTTTGGGCAGAACAAACCATCAGTCTCGCTAACAGAGTCACTGCACTGTCAGACGAATTCGCCGTTTGAGAGCCAAAGGCTGGCTGCCCATTCTGAAGCACGTCTCGCCCATGTGTGGTTTCCTGAAGAATTTATACTGCCGCGTTCTGGCCTCGTTTGCTCATGTCTGCAGGCTCTCCACCATTAGGACACAATCAAATTCCTAAGTGGGCTTTTATCCTCCCTGGTGGAGGAGTGGAGGGAAATTGACGATGGCAGGGGTGTTCCCTTCCCTGGTGGATTCGGTTCTGCCTCTTTGACACCGGTCCTTACCCGACCCAGCCTGCAGCGCTGGCTGGGACCTGTGTGGCTGGTGGCCGATCTCCTGCCATGGAGCCCACAGCCTTTTAGAATAAACCCTGGGACCTGTCTGGAGGTCCTGTCCAGACCTGTTGGGGTCACGGAGTGGAACAGCACCACCCAGGTAACAGATTGAAAGGTAGGGCCGGGGTTGACGGGGAGGGTGCCACCTGGGTGATTCCGTCTCCACCTGGGCTAAGTGTGGGATTACTCCCACACAGTAGAAGGCAAACCAGTGCTCTGGGCAGGCTGGTGGTTTTGCTGAAGAACACATAGCTTCTAACAAGCACAGGCAGCAGGGGCTGGCGCTGTAGCGCAGGGGCTGGCGCTGTAGCATAGCAGGTAAAGCTGCCGCCTGCAGTGCTGGCATCCCATATGGGCACTGGTTCAAGTCCCGGCTACTCCACTTCCCATCCAGCTCTGCTATGGCCTGGGAAAAGCTGCAGAGGATGGCCCAAGTAGCTAGGCCCCTGCACCTGCACCTGCACCTGTGCCTGCGTGGGAGACCCAGATGAAGTTCCTGGCTCCTGGCTTCTGATTGGCTCAGCTCTGGCCGTTGTGGCCAATTGGAGAGTGAACCAGTGGATGGACGACTCAGCCAGTTCCTACGGGGCCTCTTCGGGGACAGCAGTGCACACAGGGAGCCATACCTGGCTGGTGGAGAGGACAAACCGGTTGCTCATCAGGTAGGTTTCATCTGTGAACATCTCAGGCAGCTCCTTGCACAGGTCCTGGGCCAGCTCCCGCAGGGCCAGCAGGTGGTTGTCGATGGCCATCCCTGTTATGGCCTGCGGGATCAGGGACAGAGACAGGAGATGAGCCGTGGGCTCGGCTGCACTTCTTCGCTCCTCCTCTCCCAGCTCATGGTTCTACTGCGACGGCTCCTGCAGTCACACGCATGCTCACTCAGCACTTGCCCCGTCCACAGCGCGTGTGGGTGGCCGCTCAGGACTGACCGGTAAGCCACGTAGCTTCTGCCTTCCTGGGCCCCTGTGCACTGCTACACGCCCGGGAGGAGTCCAGCTCGTGTTGGGCTGTACCTTGAGGACAGTGAGTCGGGGCCTAAGGACTGCTGGCCCTGTCCAAGCTTTCGGAGGGGCGTGCCTGGCTGTCACTGTGCAGACCCTGTCACCGTCACCACCTCTGCAGGACCCCAGGGAACAAGGGACACAGAAGGTGCTGGGTCTGTTCCTGAGGCTTGGTTGCTGTTTCGTATGCTCAAGATCAGTTCGATTAAACTGGATCTGTAATCTAAGAAGTCATTTGGAGACAGGCACTGCATGCCTCAGCAGGGCTTGGGTAACATTTTTAAGGGGAGAGAGCTGGGTATTTGATGACGCGTTTGTTTACTTTTCAATCACAAGATATGTAAACTCTTAAGAAAAAGATTCATGTATTTGAAGGCAGAATATGTGTGTGTGTGTGTGTGTGTGTGTGTTTGTGTATGAGAGAGAGAGAGAGAGAGACAGAGACAGAGACAGAGACAGAGACAGAGAGTGTCTCGGCTGCTCCTCTTCTGATCCAGCTCTCTGCTGTGGCCTGGGGTAGTAGAAGATGGCTCAAGTGCTTGGGTCCCTGCACCTGTGTGGGAGACCTGGAAGAAGCTCCTGGCTCCTGGCTTCAGATCAGCTCTGGTCATTTTGGCCATCTGGGGAGTGAACCAGCAGATGGAAGACCTCTCTCTCTCTCTCTCTCTCTCTCTCTCTCTCCTCTTTTTGCCTCTCAGTAACTCTGCCTTTCAAATAAATAAAAGATCTTTAAAAAAGAAAAGTAGAAAAAGTGGAGCAGCCGGGACTCAAACTGGCGCCCATATGGGATGCCAGCATCATAGGCTTAATCCACTATGCCACAACACCGGCCCCTATATTTAAATCCATAAGGAAGGATAGGGTAGCAGAATGAGAGCTCCAGGATTTCAGCGTCAGAGGGCCTTGAGGGGAGTGGAGTGGCTGGCAGTGGGCCAGGGCACTGCTTCTACGCCTCTCCCACGTGAGGCTGGGGTGTAGTAGGCACCCTGGTTTTATTTGGAGAGTCTGGGGGGCTGATGGAGACACCCTTGGCTTATAGCCATAACCCCGGGGGACAACAGGTAGGGGTGAGAGTGGAGGAGGATCTCGCGGTTACGTAAGACGGCCCTTGGCGGTCAAAGCCCCTCCGAGAAGGAGGCACCTCCCGCCGCAGTGAGCTTCACTCAGGTGTACAGAGTCTGGGGATCAGACAGGTGTCTCTTTCAGCGGCCAATGAAGGCACAGATGATTCGGCCTCAGCCTCTCCAAATGCACCTCATTGCAGGCTGGGGAGACGAGCGGCACAGCCTCAGCCCGCCTGACATGTGCTCTGAGCCCATCCCCGAAGCGCCAGGCTCTCCTCCCTTCTCTGGTCCCTCCCCCCGCCCAATTTAACCTCTGACCCTGGGAGGCCATGCAAGTGGCTTCATGTTTTGTTTTGCTAACTCCCAGCACCTTGCCGGGCATAAAGCAAACCAAACACAAACAATCCACTGATTGCATGAGAGGCTGCTTAATTTTCCCCCAAGAGGGCAACCACTTAACTGTTCAGATGAGTTGGGTATGTAGGGCTAAGTCTACATGGGAAGGTTCTGCAACCCCAAAATGCACTGGACTTGCTTTCGTGGACGAAGGGTAGAATTGGCTCAATTCATTTTGATAGATCATCCTTCTAAGACTGCATCAAGATGACTTGCAGTTAATATACTGATCACCAGCCCCAAGCAGTGGCTCAGTGTGCATTGTTTGTATGCAAATGAGGGCTCCACAGGGCCAGAAAAGAAATTATTTCCCTAAAGTAGGGAGACATTCTCTTGACAAGTTTGATGTAATTATTAATTCCCAGCAAAGACCTTTACTTCATAGGTCATATTTCTTTATGCAGAGAATAAGAGCCACAACCTAGCACCTGCTCATGGTGTGTCAGCCACCACTGTTTGACAGACCCAAGCCCCGCCCCTTCACCTTTGACCTTTCATTTTGGATACTCAGTAAACTGCCACATGTATGGGGGGATTCTTTAAGAAGCTGGTGGAAATGCAGATTACTGAACATCTATGCAACACTGTTGCACCAACATGCAATTATCTGTTGTTGATTTTTATCCAAGAGACAGAGCCTGTCTCCACCCAACAGCCAGACCCGGCCAGATCAAAGTCAGGAGCTGGGAACTCAGTCCAGTGGGCGGCAGGGGCTCAATCGCCGGAGCCATCGCCATTGCCTCCCAGGGTCTCCATTAGCAGGAAGCTGGAGTGGGGAGCATGAGCTGGGATTGAAACCCGGGCACCCCAGTGTGGGACGTGGGCATCTGTTAACCCCTGGGCCAGTGCTCAGCCCTGGACATATCCTTCAATGCCACACCCATGAACTTTCTGAAAACCCCTTGTACCACGTGCCCTTATCACCATGGCCTTGTTTCAAAGGGTGTCAAATACTCTCAGATTCTTGCAAAATCCATGCAAAAAAGTCAGAATGGTGTGCTACTCAGGTTCCAAACATCCAGAGAAGGCGGCTCTCAGAGGGGGCGTGGCCTTGCCGTGTCACCGGGCGGGTGGTTGGCTGAGCTCTCACCCCGGGGGGGCTCGTGCTGTGACCCCCAAGTCTTGCAGGCTCTGGGACATCACTCACCATGACAGTGTACTCGGTCTGGGCGCGGATGGCGTCTCTCAGCAGCCGCAGCTTCTCACAGTCCTGTCGATGACAGAGACGCGTCACAAGGGACTTTTAGGAGGTTGCCTGAGGACTGGTGCCCCCAGGGGAAGCCACAGCGACCCCTGCTGGTCCCCCTTTGCCACCATGGCTCCCTGAGGCCAGAGCAGGACGTACGGGCATAGCAGCGGCAGGAGCCTGGTGGTCTGTCATGGCTCTCACAAAAGCCAGCGCTTCTGCCGTGGCCGATCTGATGTTGTCCACGCGGCCCTCGCGGAACCGGCGGATGGACGCACTCTCGTAAGTGGGTACCAGCTTCCGGTGGAGTCTGTGTGGGATACAGGATGAAGGGCACACGATCATTTATTCTCAGGGCACCGGCGATGCAGAAAGAAAAATGGGCTCAGCGGCTTGGTTTGGACAGTGCTGGCTCTCGGCGGCGTATTCCACGCTACTGTTAAGAGGACCCGCCAGTAGCGCTCCCAGAGATGGATGCTGGCACAGGCTCTCGTGGGCGGAGCCACATGCACGTCTCTACATCACCTGTGCTTTGCTGATAGAAAACAAGGAGCTGGTGACTGGTTGCTTTGGAAAAAAAAAATCCCCATCTGTTGGGAAAAACCTCAAATTTTCCAAGAGATCCCGGTGGGCGTTGGAAGAAGAGTGCAGAACGGAATAATTGTGCAATTCATCGCTCACAGCCTGGAGGGAACCCTGTTTGTTTGATCTAAAGTAACTCAGGCGTGACCCCCGGAGGAGGCAGGAGGTGGGCGGGGCCTCGGTGGTGGGAGCACCAGGCACCCCAGCTATGCCTCTCCGACCCAGGGGAAACCTCTTACCCCTGATGCGTGTGAGCTGCCCACACCTGGCTGGCATGTCCCCCTTCTTACCAGACGCTGGGGGAACATACAAGGCAGAGAGTTCAGAGAGGGTCAGGGACAGCCCAGAGTCACCCAGCAAGTCGCAGCCTGTGTCCCAGGCCTCTCCAGGCAAGTCCTTTCTGCACTGGGTGGGCTCCTGCAGGGGAAGGCTCTGTCTGATGGAGCCCAGGGCCTGGCGGTGACTCAACTTCCCCGTGCACACCTATCCTAGTCCCCCAGGTCTCGTCAAGGGAGCCCCCTTCCTGTCTCTCTGTGGGCCCTGGAAGCAAATGCTGTGCTGAGCATAGGCACAGACGCTGTCACTGGCTGGGCAGTGGGCAATCCCAGGGCTCAGGGCTGATGTGGGCAGTGGGCAATCCCAGGGCTCAGGGCTGACATGAGTGGCAAGCATAAGCCTGACCCTCAGAGCTGAGAGGTGGAACTTTAAGAGGAGAGTGGAGGGGCCGGCACCTGGCTCACTTGGTTAATCCTCCACTGCGGCACCAGCATCCCATATGGGCACCAGGTTCTAGTCCTGGGTGCTCCTCTTCCAGTCCAGCCCTCTGCTGTGGCCCCGGGAGTGCAGTGGAGGATGGCCCAAGTGCTTGGGACCTGCACCTGCATGGGAGACCAGGAAGAAGCACCTGGCTCCTGGCTTCGGATTGGTGCAGCTCCGGCCGTAGTGGCCATGTGGGGGGTGAACCAATGGGAGGAAGACCTTTCTCTCTGTCTCTCTCTCTCTCTCACTGTCTAACTGCCTGTCAAATAAAAAAAAAGAGGAGAGAGTGGGGTGTGAGGTCTCTGCCCCCATGCATGGGTGAGGGGTGCTGCCCGGGGAACAGGCCCCCGCCCCTCCTGGTACAAGCTCTGGGTCTCCCTGTGCTCTCACTACTACATTAGGGCACAGCACAAAGGCCCTGGTCAGATGTGACCCCTCGAGGTCAGGCTCCCCGATACGTTGAGCCCAGCTTCTAGTCTCTATAAGTCACCTTGTGACACAGTGCACCTTGCTTTTTAAACCAAGACACCCAGTTTGTGGTATTCCATTATGGCTGTAGAAAATGGACCGAGTCCTCCCATCTAGGTAGCTTGGGTTTTCTGCTGAGTCCAGGAGCAGATGGAGACATTGTTTATGGGGCCAGTATCGTGGCACAGCGAGCGGGTTAAGCCACTGCTGGTTAAGTTGCCACTTGCATTGCTGGCTGGCTTCCCATACTGGAGTGTTGGTTTTTGTGTCCTGGCTGCTCCACTTGTGAGCCAGCTTCCTGCCAATGCACCTGGAAAGCCAGCAGGCGATGGCCCAAGTGCTAGGGCCTCTGATACCCAAGTGGGAGACCAGGATAGGGTCCCGGGTTCCTGGCTTCAGCCTGGCCCAGACCTGGCTGTTGTGGCCATTTGGTGAGTAAACTAGCAGTTGGAAGATCTCTCTCTCTTCTCCTCTCTCTGCCTTTTAAATAAATTAATTGATTTTTACAAAAACATTTGTTCACGTGCAAGTATTAAGTGCTAGCCAAAAGTCTGTTAAGAACATGTTTAGGGGGCCGGCACCATGGTGTAGTAGGTTAAGCCTCTGCACCGGTTTGAATTCTGGCTGTTCCACTACCCATCCAGCTCCCTGCTAATGTCCCTGGGAAAGCAGTGGAAGATGGCCCAAGTGCTTGGGCCCCTGCACCCACGTGGAAGACCCGGAAGAAGTTCTGAGCTCCTGGCTTCAGCCTGGCCCAGCCCTGGCTGTTGCGGCCATTTGGAGAGTGAAGCAGGGGATAGAAGATCTCTCTCTCTCCTTCTTTCTCTGCCTTTCAAATAAATACATAAATCTTAAAAAAAAAATGTTTAAGGGGATGGAAATGCTGACAACCTGATACAATCACCATACACTGAATACACATATCGAATTGCTCCACTACGCCCCATAAATAAGTACGATTAAATTAATAATTTTTAAAAATCGACAACTTAAATCCCCCCCACCCTAAAAATGGGCAGCTGTTGTTGCTATGGCTCAGAGTCAAGCAAGCTGTCCGCAGGGAAGCAGGTCCCCATCCATTCCTGGCCTAGGCCGTGGTCGGTACGGGCCTGAGGCTGGGACGTGCTCAGAGCTGCGGGGGCCGGGAGGCACGCCAGGTCGAGGTCCGGCCTGGACGCTTGCCCATCAATTCAGCCACAGGCCCTTGGGATGGCAGAAGGTGCCGACTGCAGCCGCCCAGCCCTGTCTTGGTGCTGCTGAGGCTTTGGTGTGCGGCGTCCCGACTGCAGCCGGCTCTCAGCGGCCCTGAGCTCAGGTCTCCCAGCAGGGAGGCTGTGCGCCCACGCATGCGCACAGGCGCACATGGCTGCTGCCCTCTGGTTAGCGAGCGCTCCTGGCCGGGCTAGCAAGCTGCAGATGGAACAGAACAGCCTCTATTGTCCACACCCCTGGCTTTATGAGCCGGAACCACAGAAGCCCGAGCCTGGCTCTGCGAAGATCTTGTTTGCATTTTATTTATTTATTTTTAGGCATCTTTTCAAAGGCCCGTTGGGCGCATCCCCCCCACCCACCCCGCCTCAGTCCTGTCCTCCCCCCACCTCCAACCAGAGATGACGCAGGGCCACCCCTAATGAAAAGCGCATGACTCTGATTCAGTCCCCTACCGACGCCTGCTCTGAGCCAGGTGTGGTTTGAGCACTGGAGACGCACACATTCGTGGGACACCCCCAGGGTGTCAGGGGTAGGGGACAATCTAGAAAAAGCACACACAATCTAGAAAGTGCACACACAAAGCAGTTCACAGAACTAACACCGGCCTTGGGAGAAAACAGGGCTGCTCCCCCACCTCACCCCTCCCCCAGGCCAGGGGACACCACCCTCCTCCCTCACGTGAGCATCCCTGGGTCTGTGCACCTGCCCTTGGTGCTGAGGGTGGAGGAGGAAAGAGAAGGGCTCAGAGGGGGCACACGTTGTGGCCTGAGTCTCGGGCAGGCCTCCTGCCCTGGGCCCTCTCTCCTGGTGGTAGTTGGGGGGTGGGACAAGGTAGTGGCAGAAAAGCAGGTGACAAGGGAGTCCCGGGTGGCAAGGGAGCCCCAGGCGGCTGCTGCAGATAAGGGAGTCCCCACCGGCCTCCGCAGGGGGTGCCTGAGCTGGAAGGTGACCCAGGACAGGACAGCACTGAGGCAGGGTCCCAGGAAAAGCCAGCTCACAGGGGGCCTGTCTCAGCCTGGCTTTTGCTCTGAGCCTAGGGGGAAGTGTCCAGGTTTCCCAGAGGGAAGTCTGATGTACATATTTCCAAGTTCATGCCTCAGGAAGACAGAATTACAGGGGCCAGAGTGGGCGCAGAGACCCCCTGGGAGCTGCTGCATTGGCCACGCACAGGAGGGTGTGGCTGGGGAGGGGACGAAGGCAATGGCAGTGGAGGACAGGGGAGGGGCTTGGGGGACAATCGGAGGGGGCATCTGGGTGAGAGATAGGTCATTTCGGACTTATGCAACCAGGCTGGGAAGATAGGAACAGGTCCCAGCGGGCTGCGGCTCTAAGGAGCAGCCTCCCCCCGCCCACCCCAGATTCTGCTCGTGGCCTGGCCCTCTCCGTAGCCCCTCTGACCCCCGTGCCCCTGCACCAGCGCTCGGGCAGGTCCTGACTGTGTCAGCCTTCCGGCCCTCTCCTGGGGCTGGGTTTAGATCTGATCCTCTGTTCCTGCATGCCACCTGCCATGGCGGCCTCGGGTCCCAGGATCCCAGAGTCGAGCATCGAGAGAGCCTTGTCAGCCAGCACCCCCCGGCCTGGGGTGCAGATCTGGTGCCTTGGGCTCACCTGTAGAAGGCGAGCTGCAGGCCCACCTGGATGAAGGCGTCGGGGCTGAACTTCTGCTTCTTAATGAAGCTTTTCCCATAGCCGTCGAACGGATAAACAAGGAAGTCGAGATCCTTGACTATTCTGTGGGAGAAGCAGGAAGACGATTGCGTTCACACCACTGGAATGCACTCACCACCAACCCAGGCATGATTCCAGCACCTGGCCGCATCCTGGCACTCTGGGAGATGAGGACACGGGCCCTGCACCCTGGGGACACACTGGGGTGACAGCGACACGCCGCGCCCTTATGGAAGTGGCAGCAGCTCACTGAGGCCAGGGCTACTGTGAGATGTAGGTGATCTCAGCGCAGCAGGTGGTGGACAGAGGGCCAGGCTGCAGCAGGGAGGCAGGCCAGGGAAAGACAGGGATGATGAGAGACATTGGCATGGGCAGAGACCATGTGGCCCACAAAGAAAATTCTAGAAACCTGCTGCCCAGGAAAGAGGCCATTCTTTGACCGGTGTGGGCAGGAGTGTCGGGCATCCCTGGGGGTGTGGGGTGCGCTCCGTCACCTTAGCCATCACTCGGCGGGAGTCTCCCCACCCAGGGTTATCCCTGCTGTGGCCTGGGGCCTGGGGGCTTGCTGTGGTCATCCCAGTTTGCCAGTGCCTGAAGAACAGCCTCATCCCCAAACTGCAGCTGGTCACAGGCCAGCTCCCCGAGGTGATGCTGAGACTGCCCCCTGCCGACCGTTCTCATCACAAGCTTGGGGTCCACTCTGACCCCTGGAGCAATGTCCAGCCAGGTCCATCATCTGCCCACCAGCTGTGCGAGACCCAGACAGAGCCTGGCCGGGCAATGCCATGCCCCTCACGCCCTCCCTTGGGACTCCCTGCCAGCCTTGTCTTGAATTCTTCCTCCTGCCTCGCCTGGGCTCACCTGGGCTCACCTGGGTGGGGGCGGGGGAGGCAGGCGCTGGGGAGCGGGGGACTCAGAGGGGTTCACTTTCCCCAGGAGCTCACCCTGCAGTGCCGCCTGTGGACAGACTGAGCAGACAGGGCTCCTCTCTCAGACCCCGGCCTCTTCCTCGGTTCCCCCGCGGTGCCCCCTAAGCCACGGGCCAGGCCTCATCCTCCATCAGCAGGAACTGCGGGGGGGGCACTGGGGCCTTCCCCGAGGCGCCTGGGGCCTGCGCGGGTCCCGGAAGGTGGGTGGCACCTTCCTCCCCCAGCACTCATAGACCCCCCTCCTCACTCTCCCGGGGGCTGCTTCCCCTGGCTGGAGCACCCTGCGAAAGCTGACATATGTCAGCATCGCTTGGCAGAACACCCAAGGCCTCTCCACTGTCCACCTCCAGCCAGGGGCCCCCCGGAGCAGCTCCAGGTAGAGTGGTCTCCACCTTGGCCTCCCCGCCTGACCAGGCTCCGCCCCACTCCTATGAACCGTCCTCCCTGGCTCCCTCAAGCCTCCTGCTTGAAAACCTACAGGAGTTCATTGTGCTACAGGGCAGGCTCTGTGCCTGTACCATGAGGCCAGCAAAGCTCCTCTCGTGGCCGTTCACTTTGCTCGTCTCCAGAGCCGCCTAGATCTTTATGCCTTTTTGCCATCTGGCTGCACTATGAACTCCTATCCATGCTTCAAGGCCCATCTCGGCAAAGCCCTCCCTCACAGTCCTGGCAGATCTTACGTTGCCAGCTCTCTGTGGGCCAGGTCTGGTTTGAGTACTTGTCTGATTCTATCACACAGACTGGGAGCTCCAGTGTTAACAAATGAATGACTGAGTGAGTGAGTGATGACTGAATGAAGGCATTCATACCAGCTTACAGGGAATGAACCATGGTCCAGACCCGGGTGCCAGCCCGTGTCTCCCACTGCCCCTCACTGCGGCCCCCGTACCTGGCCCACCCACGGGAGCTTGCACCTGTCTCCAGCACTCTTGCCTCCGTCCCGTCGGGGGGCTTGAGCCACCGCCTCTCCCCTTGGAGAACAAAGGTCTCCCTTGTCGAGTTGCGGTGTAAATTCAAGCAAATTGAAATAGCTTGGATTCAAATGACCTATTCAAAGCAGCTGTGTGTTACTCCCCCCAGAAAGCAGGGACGACTTCCCGGCCTTGGTCTGCTCAGCCAGGTGAAACCAGAGGAGGAAAAAAAAAAGTAGCTCCAAGTTTGCATCTTATGGAAATGATGGCTACTTAGGCAAGGTCATTTCCATGAGCAGTCGGGGCGGCGTCTAGCCCGGCGACGGCAGGCTGGGGACTTTGGAAACTGCCTGGGCCGTCTCTCCAAAGGGACACAGTGGCTTTTTTTCTTACCGTTGGAGCCTCTCTGCCGAGGAGGCCAAGTGTCCTTGGATCTCCGGGGAACATTTCCACCTCAGCCTCCTGGGAGCCGGGAGCTCACTCACCGAGTCGGCTCGCACCAGCTTCTTGCCACCCTGTGTCCTGCAGGTGGACAGGGGTCAGCTCCCGAGGCTCCGCCTCCTGCAGGGCCGGGGTGGGGGAGGGGCTGGGGGAACAGCCTGGTGGGTCCACCTCGGCAGTCATTGTAGTTGCTGGCGTGTGCAGCCACAGACTGCCAGGGAGAAAGACCTGCGGGCTCTCCCAGCACCCCACACCCTGGGGCTCTCTAAGACGCCACCCAGCTCCCCCGGAATCCAAAGCCTAAAGGAGCTTTGCATTTCGTCCCCCTTAGACCACGTGAGGTCGCTAGCATTTCTTGGAGGGAGATCCGAGGTGCAGTTGCATCGTCTGTCTACAGGGGCTGGGTTTCAGCGATCCTGAAGGGATCCTGGACTCCCGGCGCAAGATCCTCGTTAGGGGATGAGCAAAACTGGAAGTAGCAGTGTGTGCGGACGGACTGAGGAGCCTTCAGTCCCGGCCAGCTCAGAAGCTGGGGAGAGGATCCAGTGTGAGAGGTGGAAACAGACCTCTCTGTGTGCTAGGCCAGTCCTGACCCAAGACAGACAGTAGGTCTGCATCCGGGCTTCCCTGGATCAAAGCCGGTGTTCCTGAGAATTCCCGGCCCCAGCTCTCCCCCGTTGGCCAGGAGACTTTGCAGATGGACACAGCACAGCCCCCGTGCACCCCTTCTCCAAAGACCACCCCGATTTTGCTGGCCCTGTGCTCTGCCCCCAGACTCACATGTGCGCGAGCAGGTGTTCCGTGCACTGCACCAGGACAATGCCGTCAAACGGGGAGTGTTCGCACACCACGCCGCACGTGCCGTCTCGGCCCACCACGAACTGCAACGGGAGGAGGGAGCCCGCGTTTCAGGCCAGCCCTCAGCTCCACACACCCTGCTCCACCAAGGACACCGTGGATAATACTTCCCTGGGCGTGGCTGCCGCGGCCTGGCCACGTGCGTGCCAGTCTCAAGACAGCTCTGTACCACATGGCCTCCTTCCCTGAAGGCGCTGGGCAGCCAAGGCAGAGCCGGGCCCTGTTTGTTCTTCCTCTGTAGTCCTGTGTGGCACTCATACCCAGTCTCTGTTTTTGGACTACCAATGATTTTATTCCCAGGATCCAGAGCTGTGCCCAGACCATACCAGGTGCTGGATGCGTTTGTTGAGGGAGTGAATGAAAGACAATGATTGGGGGCGGGGTGGGGGGAGGGCGTGCTATAGCATAGCATCACCTCCTGTGATGCCAACATCCCCCATGGACACAGGTTCGAGTCCCGGCTGCTCCATTTTCTTCCCCTAGTTGCAGTCTGAGCTTTGGAGGCTTTGTCTCTAAGCAGATGACATGTGGACGGGTCTTAGCCACGTGCTCCTAGGCAGAGCGCTGTCCCGGCCAGCGACTGACACCACTGGCACATCTCAGTCCCATCGGCTCCCAGCCCAGGGGGTGAACCTGCCAGGGGCATGCACGTGCTGGCTCCAGCCACCGGCCATGCCCACGCTCTGCCCGGTGGCTCACGGGAGCGTGGCCGTGCTCCCACAGGGCCGCTGAGCGGCTGCTCACCTGGAGGGACTTGTCGTACCAGCGGTTCGCTCCATTCCGGCTGCAGCCTCCACCGTGAAGGAGCTGCAGTGCCCGGCTGGTGTCGCTGAGGTCCCCGCCTCCCGGTGCGTCCAGACACACCAGGCAGATGCAGCGCTCGATCATGTCCAGCGAGTCTCGGTTGGTGGAGTCTGCAGGGTACGCAAGCACAGCCTGAGCACCTGTTCCCTCCCAGGGCAGCCCTGGCCCCTGACAACACGCGGACACCCAGCTCTGGAGCCAGCCCCGACCTCCCCACCTCCCCAGCTCACTCATCCGTCAGGCTCTCTTCTGCCCCAGTGGTCTCTGCCCCACCATGTGCAGGCCGTTGGTTCTGCCCACCAGGGGCAAAGGGGATGCTTAGACCCTCAGGCCAGCCCTCTCCAGGGGAGAGCCCCCCCATCCCCTTAGTCCATGGCACCCTCACTCCGGCACCGTGAGCCCCAGCTGTGCACAAGCACACTTTTATTTGCCTTGATCCCTGACTTTCAAACATTTAGTTGCTGGAATTTGAAAACAAGGCAATTCCACGTGAAAATCTGCAGGACAGATATTGCTAAGCCCCCATTCCCTGCCAGGTGTTGGTTCAGAGGCACAGCTGCCATGGAAAGGCCAGCCTGCCCTTGAACCTGGCTCTGAATGAGCTCGCTGGGCTGCTCATGGGGACAAGAAGCCCCAAACCCCTGCAGTGTGCAGGAGACGCATCCCCGGGCAGGACTGAGCCTGGGCCCGCGATTTGCTTCTTCCACAGAGTCCCTAACAACCCCTGGCTCCCGGGAGTTCTCCTACAGGGTGGGGGTGGCAGCTTTGAAATCCACGCAGCACCCAAAGGAGTCACCCCTCCCCCATGACACTGGAGGCTCCCAGACAAGGACAGCATGTGGGAGGGGGCGTCGGGCACTGCAGGGCCAGGCCAGCTGGGCCGTCCTGGGCAGCTCCCTCCAACAAGCACGCCCAGAGGGCACTGATCGTGGCCGTGGCTGCCACAGCCGTGTGCTCCCCTTCGCCCGGGCAGGCGTTCTTTCTCCAGCAACTGAACTGAGCGTGGTGCTGGACAACCTGTCTTTGGCTTAAGGACCAGCACCAGAACCAAGCCCACTTAGACCCAAGTTTGAGGTTTTGGTTCACCATGGCCAAGAGTCTCGGCAGTCCTGGCGATGACACCCTGAGCTCAGGGCCAGGTGTGGGGACAGAGGAGGTGCAGGGTGACCCCCGCCCAAGAGTGCGCCCCGAGGGCCGGCGCCATGGCTCAATGGGCTAATCCTCTGCCTTGCGGCGCTGGCACACTGGGTTCTAGTCCCGGTCGGGGCGCCGGATTCTGTCCCAGTTGCTCCTCTTCCAGTACAGCTCTCTGCTGTGGCCAGGGAGTGCAGTGGAGGATGGCCCAAGTGCTTGGGCCCTGCACCCCATGGGAGACCAGGAGAAGTACCTGGCTCCTGCCATCGGATCAGCGGGTTGCACCGGCCACAGTGCGCCAGCCATGGTGGCCACTGGAGGGTGAACCAACGGCAAAGGAAGACCTTTCTCTCTGTCTCTCTCTCTCACTGTCCACTCTGCCTGCCAATAAAAAAAAAAAAAAAAAATAGATTGCGCCCCGAGCACGGCTCTGGGAGGCAGACATTGCTAGTTTGTGTCTTCACGTGTGGCACTCAGATCTAAACCACTCTGTGTCTCACGTGTGGCACTCAGATCTAAACCACTCTATGACCACTTCCAACAAATACCTTTAAAGATGTTTACTCTTTGCCCCTCCCTTCCATCTTCCTCCCTGGAGTGCAGGTGTAATGGCTGGAGCATTTGCCTCTGCTTTGCTCTCCTTGGGCACGGAGAGAACTCTCAGTTCCAAGGTCAGTCAATGCTTCAGATCCTCCCATGGGTACGTGGGTGCTAAGGCCACCCGTGCTGCTCCCTGCTCTGGCCAGGTGATTTTTCCAGGTTTGGGAGAAGTGTCCCACTCCAGTTCTAATCCATCTAATTCTCCCTGCATTCCATGAGTACTGGGGGAAGGAGACACAGTCTCCCAGCCCATCCTCGGGACACCCGTGCCCTCTTCCTGTCTAGGGTTAGTTTTGGGGAGCCCAGTTTTGGGGACCCCTGTGCTTTCAAGACTGCACTTGGCCCTGGGGAGCCAGAAGGCATCATTTGCTTTCTCTAAGGCCCTTTGGAGGTTCCCACTTCCATCTAATCAGCACCAGGGCTTGGGCCTTGCCTAGAGGACCAAACACCCTGGGGGGACTTCCTGTCCCTCCCGCTCCTAAGCTTGGTGCAGGAACCTGAAGCAGCCCCTAAGCCGGTGACGGAGAAGCCAGAGTTCCACACCCAGTCTCCCGGCTCGGTGGCCACTCCTGGGGGTTGCCGCCCTGCCGCCCCCTCCACACCTGTGCCTGTTCCATCTCCTCACATGGCCATACACTTGTTCCCTTCTCCCACTCTGCCCACAAAAGGCCTGCTGGGAAAACCCTCCCGGGGCTCCCTAATGCGCTAGCAAGCCCACACTACCCTCAGGACGCCTGGGGCACTTGGCCTCTGCAGCCCGCTGTGTGCAGCACCTGATAACTCCGCTCTGTCTGCCCGGTCAGCTTCATTCAGCGCCTGTGCCCCAGCCTGGGTCAGCCCCTCACTCTGCTCTGCATACAATACAAGACGCTGCCGCGCCCTCAGATACCCCCTCCCCCGCCAGTGCTTCGGGCAGTAGCTGCCAGTGTAGCACCTGCGGCCCCGGAACCCTGGTCTGGTCCCCACTAGTGACCCCATGTCTGTGAGCTCATTGAGGACGCAGCCTGGCACCCAGAGCAAGGCGAGCACAGGGCTGTGGCTGTGGCTGGTCACGGGCTCAGAGGGGGTACAGTGGGGCTGGAATCTGCACACCCGGTGCAGAGAGGGGGCGTGGAGGCGCCCAGCTGGCTAATGGGGCGGGCAGCCACTTGTCAGGGCCTCATGGGATGGCAGCAGGAGGCTGCGGGCAGGGTAGGACTCAAGGCTTCTCCCTCTCTCCCTGCCAATCTGAATCCAACCCAGGGCTGACCACCGCCTCCCCATGCTCCGAGGGACAGACGGACCCCGGTGGTGACTGCCACGGATGGGGGCAGGACCGGGAGCTGCAAGGGGAGCTGATGGGTGAGTGGCTTGACCTCTGACCTGTTGGCAAAGGCAGCCAGCCCTTCATGAGCACCTACTGTGTGCCAGGCCCCACTGTCAGGTTCCATCAGCAGTTGTGTCCAGCCAGGGGGCCAACAGCAGCCGGGCACACCCCTGGGCAGGACAGTGGAGACTTGGGACACTCCTTCCCAGCCAGGCATTGGCAAGGGTGACAGCAAGGGACAGCAGAGTGAGGGCTCCCCCGGGGAGGGGCTGAGGCCTCGCCATACCACGCAGACCCTGCAGGGCCCAACAGCTCAGCACCACCCAACAGGAACCAAGTCCTGGCTCATTAGCCAACGCCAGCCGGGGGGCAGGAGAGCAGCGCCTGCTGGGCCAGGTGGTCTTGCAAATGAACTCCCTGAATACAAGCACGGATCGGTCAGCTGCTGACAAGTGCATCGCATAAGGCAGACACCCAGCCACATCCGCCGTGACCACAGCCCCTGGGTAATGGGAAGGCGGGCGGTGGGCTGGAGGCGCACGGCGGGAGCCGTTTGTCTTGCGGTGTTCTCAGTGAGCACACCGAGGTGCACTTAATGTGGCCCATCAATCTTCCCCAGGAGCGCCTGCTCCGCGGAGGGAAGTGGGGCTCGGTGCTAGGAGAAGCTGGGGGCCTGGGGACTGACAGCTCTGTGCTGTGTGAACCCCAGAGGCCCATCAGGCCGTGGGGAGCAGCCCCAAGGCTGCTGCTGGGCCGGGCAGGGACCTTCCAGACTGTGGCTCAAGTAAGCAAGGCTCAAACAGACTCTTGGTGGCTCTGCACCCCTCCGAAGGCTGCTCCACTTCCCATCCAGCTCTCTGCTGTGGCCTGGGAAAGCAGCAGAAGATGGCCCAAGTGCTTGGGCCCCTGCACCCGCGTGGGAGACCTGGAAGAAGCTCCTGGCTCCTGGCTTTGGATCAGCTCAGCTCTGGCCATTGCCCACATGAAGAACCTGGACTTGACCTCTGGCTTTACCAAAGCAGCACATACCCCCTCACCTGCTGGGGCAGTGTCAGAGGAAGCCAGCTAAAATAGCAGGTTTAAATAATATGCAGAGGCTTACAACATATACCTGCAGGTTTCGATGGAAAATCTCTCATCATATCAATAACTAGGAATCCCAACTTGAGTACACAAAGACGAACAGGGGCCAGTGCTGTGGTGTAGCGGGTTAAAGCCCCAGGCTGCAGCACTGGCATCCCATATGGGCACTGGTTCGAGTCCCGGCTGCTCCACTTCCCATCCAGCTCTCTGCTATGGCCTGGGAAAGCAGTAGAAGATGGCCTGAGTCCTTGGGCCCTGTACCTAAGTGGGAGACCCAGAAGAAGCCTCTGGCTCCTGGCTTCAGATCTGTTCAGCTCTGGCTGTTGCAACCATTTGGGGAGTGAACCAGGGGATGGAAGATATCTCTCTCTCTCTCTCTCTCTCTCTCTCTCTCCCTCTCTGCTTCTGCCTCTAGTAACTCTGCCTTTCAAATAAATAAATGTTCGTTTAAAAAGAAAGAAAAGAAACTGAACTAACCCCAAAGAGAAGTTCAGTTAGAATGACAGCATAATTGTTACTAGAAGCCAGGGAGGCCACAAGGAAGTGGGCAAACACCTTTCGCGTGCTGACTGACAGGGACTGCCAACCCAGAATTCTGTATTTGCAGAAATATCCCCCAGAAACAAGGGAGGGCAATCGAAACATTCACGTAGGAGAAAACGACTAGGCGATTTATTCCTAGCAGACACACCTGAAAAGAATGGTGTACTCGCCCACGTTATCTGATACTATAATGAAATGCCCGAGCAAGGCTAAGTTTATAAAGAAAAGAGGTTTCCTGAACTCGCACAGTCTTGGAAGCTCGAAGTCCAAATAGCATCGTGCAGGTTCTTGTGAGGGCCCCAGGGCAGACGGCAGGAGCGCAGGTAGAAGTAAGAGACCACATCTCCAGACAGGGAGCCAGAGTCACCGGGGGTCTGGCTGGCTCTGAAAACTGCTGCGGGGGTCCCACAAGACATCCCCTAAACGCTACCAAGTGCAGCTCTG